TAAACCTAATTACCTTCCTCCCCTCCTACAAAAAAGTTTAAAAAAATAAAAAGTTAAGCAGCAGAAACATTTTCATCACCAGGGAAATTTTTTGTTTTTCTCCCCGAGTCCAACATGTTTTAAGATTTTACTGACAAAGCTGATCACGTCTAGTAAATAATCATTTATTCTTCCCACCTTAAATAATCAAAGGCATAATTGTTGCAGATTCTGATCAGCACAAAGCGACCCATGTTGCCAATTCACAGTTGATAAAGGCCAAAGCAAATCAAATAAAGGTTGACGTTTCGTTTTGCCAGCATGTATTTTGTGTGTGAATATTTTCTAAGGCTTCTTGAAATATTAGAAATAGAGTATGAATTCCCATTTTCACTGTCCTAGTGCCCACAGACATCCCAGGCACCCAGCTCAAATGATCACAGTTGTGTCCAAGTTCGGTCTCAGAATACACAAGCATCTACCTTGTACAGCAGGAAGGAGGCAGCAGCTCTGAATGAGGCATGAGCTGGTCTGTATTCATCCGGTACCATATTCCTCCCCCAGCTCTGCCCTGAGCCATGCTGTGGTGTGGAGAGAAAGAGAAACAATAAAGTAGGCAAGACATTAGATACTGGAGGTCAGAAAAGGAAAAAGAAGTTGAAATTCTCTCATGCATGATTCATCACACACACAGTTAATCCCTACTATTTCTGAAGGCCAGTTTGAAGGACCAGATTGTGGAATATTTTCTCTCTCTCTCTTTTTTTTTTTTTATGTGTGTGTGTACAAAAGTGAATATTTTTATTTAGAATGGAAAAAAAAAACTTCACTGCAAATTTCTGAAAGTTGACAAATGTCCACAAATACCACCAAATCCAAGAAATATCTCATTTTTATTCACTGCCTACCCAATCTCTTTTATTAATTAACTTCCTAAAATACTTCTACGCTAATTTTCCCCCATGGGCTTTGGCTGTATACTCTTGATCATCTCTTTGAAATGACTTTTTTAACAGCTTTATTGAAATATAATTTATATACCTCACCACTTACCCATCTAAACTGTAGAACTCAAAGGTTTTCAGTATATTCCCAGAGTTGTGCAATCATTATCACAATTTTAGAAAAATTTTATCACCCCAGAAAGAAAACCCTGTTGAAAAAGCTCCATTCCTACTGTAACCAAAACCGTCCTCCACGATCGTTTCATTCAGTGGGAGAAACTCTTCGCTAGCATTAAATGGAAACTTGGCAGGCCCAGAAATTGTTCAGCTCACTCTAGACACAGGATCAATTCAGTAATTAAACTATCCAGTCCTGGCTAGTCCAGACTTGACCTGGCCTCTAATCTTCTTCCCCGCTTAGCTGGAAGCGTGCTGTTGGAAGGAGAAGGTGGGTGATGACCTCTGTTCCTGTTTCTGGGCCCCAGGTACCCACTGGGACTTCTCCTCTTCCTGCTGAGTCTCTCCAGCTCACCCTGTTGGATAGACCCCAAGAAGGTAGACCCCAGGCCAACTCTCTTGCATGTGGGCACGTGGCCCATATCTGGTCCATAAGGACCAGGCAGCAGCTCCAGTCACCATCTCCTCCCAATCTCCTCATACTCACTTGTTTTTATAGCTTTGATCTGACTGTGGGATCCAAGATTGAGGAACAGGATCTCAGGAACATTTTCTTAAAAATCGCACAGAGGGTGGAGGTCTGTCTCGTTCACTTTGATATCTAAGGCACTGACACCCCAGTAGAATCTGAGACAGAAGAAGCCCCATTCTATCCACCATCCTCTTCTTGACTTGAAAGAGTCAAAGCATTCTTATCTCGCTATAAATACATGTGCACATACATTTACATGGACATTGCAGTGTAAACATTATGTATTTTACCTCTGGATGTAACAGCCTTCATCACTTCCAACGTAGACTCATATGTTTGAAGGTGCTGATTCTGAAAGACTGGTAGCCTTGTGGACAGAAATCACTGAAAAAAATCCTGTACCTACACCTAGCCCACTCCACCACAGCTACGTGGTAAATACGGAGATGCTTCAATTACCTACTCCTCACACCTATCCTGTCCAATTTGGTAACTACTAGCCATAGGTAGCCACTTAACTGTAAATGAATTCAAATAAAATTAAATAAAACCCCAGTTTCTCAGCGTCAGTTGCCACATTTCAAATTGGCTGCTCACTGCCGTACTTACTGCCGACACAGAACATTTCCATTATCACAGAGAGTTTTATTGGACAGCCCCGCCTCACATGGGGTCTGGTCCTCAGAAGGCAAGGAATAAGTGACAAATGGAAGTTTGGCCCAAGGATACCATATGATTGCCCTGGTTTATTTTTCTGAGAATATAAAGCTTTTTAGTATAGTGCTATGTACTGACTCAGCCATTAAGAACAAAAACCAAATCTTTACATAGAAACATAGCCACGGCTGCTTTTCTGTTTCACACTTGAAAACCTAGTGCATCCCCCTGCTTTGCTAGAAAATGCTTCACCATCCGAATAATTCCTGAAACTGTTTGGGGAAAAGTCCCTACTTCCCTCAAAAAACAAATCGCTTTTTC